GCATAATTAATGCATGTCTTTATTGCATTTTAATACATGGACTCAAATCCTATTAATCTTGACACAAACTAGAAATGAACATCTATAATTTTTTTACCAGAAAGAATGTATTAATTTATTTTTGGCTCTGCACTATTAAATTAAATGAAACATTACTAAAATACATTTTTTTCCAATAAAATTTATACGTCTCAAATATGGTTTATCATAATATTTATTGCCTCAAAATCATTTAAATTTAAATTTTTATTTTTATTAGCCAAAAGGAATGAATTTTATTAAGGGACAAGGGGCATTCTCCAACCCCTTTTCAATCGAACTTACTACATAATATCTGCCTTAATTGAATCCTTGCAGGGTTCCAAACTATGGAAAGGCCTAAGTCCCTAATTTTGAAGAATGCCATTGACAAAGGCGATGTTGATGCTGTAATGGACCATTTTAAGAGAAATCCAGGGGCAGAAAAATTGGGATTTTGGACAGGTCACACTGCTCTTCATTACGCATCGGCTGTTGGCAAGTCAAACATTGTGGTGGCATTGCTTGAGAATATGCCTGCAGTGCAAAAGGATTTATGGGATAATACAGCTCTAAGAGATGCTGCTGTGTTTGGAAACACCGAGATTGCAAAATATTTATTTAGTAAGGATTCTTCTTTGCTTTCTATGGTAGATGAACATAAACAAATCCCGGTAGTAACGGCATGTAGACAAGGGCATAAGGAGGTGACAAACTTTCTCTATTCTGAAACCCCATTCGAAATGCTATTAAGCGAAAGCGGAAAACAAGGATCCCAATTACTTTATTGGTGTTTTACTTCCAAAAGATTTGGTAAGAGCATGCGAAGTTTGACTACGCAAAATGAAATTTTATACTGTCCTTAAACATATAAAATGACAACATTTTTAATATATGATTTTAATATGTGTAGATATTATGTTGGATGTACTTCACCGCGGTCAAAGTTTAATTGATGAAAATTGGAAGGATCTTTTGGATGGATTCGCCCGAACGCCAACAGCATTCAGCGGTGGAAGTGGGCTAACATTTTGGCAACGATGGATCTATGAGTGTGAGTATCGTTTATTCTTTCATTTTAATCCTTCCATCGATCCCCACTTTTGTCTGTTTTATTTCTTTTTTTCATAAATTTGATTGTTTTGTTGGTAGTCTCATAAAATAAGCAGAAATGTTTTTTTAATAACCGATTATATATGCTACATGTTAATGCATGCTGCATGCCTTTTATTATTATTATTATTATTTCTTTTCTCTTATAAAGTCCAATTTGCTATTCTTGAATCATTAATTTAATCTTATTAATTATTGTTGTTAAAAGGTTTGAAGGTACACATACCGAGCGATTTTACCGTTGTTATTATTAATCAGAAAGGAAAAAATTTTGAAGATATGCCAGTGCTAGGTATGTTATACTTCCTCTCCCTCTATATATAATGAAAAGTAAAATCAACTCCACCCATATACAACCATTATCTATATTTTAATTACCTACGTACACCACCTCATCCCATTGAATGCCATTGAATATATATAGTGTTTTTCCTTGTTAAAGTAATGTTGTTTTTCAGTATTAATTTGTTAATGAGTTTGTTTAACTTATATTGTAAGAGTATAAGTTAATGGTGTATTAAATAAATTTTTATCATATATTTATATTAAAAAAAATAAAAATTAACATTTAATATATCAGTTATCCAATTAAATTATTCACTTAACATTGATACTAACTTTAATATTAGGTTTCTTTTATATATATATAAATAAAAAATACTTTTAAAGGTATATGTTAAAAAAAATCCTTTGTTAATAAAGAGTTGGGTTATTCACAATATAATATTACTTTAATCCAAATTTTTTTGAAATTATTCAGATATATTGAATTTTTTTCCATTTTAATATATATATTTTTGGTTATTAGGTCGATTATGGAGATTGGCTTCATTCCTTCTTCCGTTCTTAGGTATAACACAATCTTTTTTTTTTTTCCGATTAACAAAATCAAAATTTTAATTTATCTTTTACTTCTATGCTTATGCTTTATTTTTCTTCTTAGTTTAGGCATAAAGCAAATACATGCTTTAAAGTTGAGTTATGGCTTCGCTCGTGCGAGTCTATGTTTGATCTGTCGGCACTTGACAAAATTACAGTTGAGGACATTGGAGGACCATACTGCACTAAAGAAGACACTCACCAGTGGGATTGAGAATGGCAGTTATGAATTTTTAATTGAAATGGTCAAAACTAATGCAGACTTACTTGATGCGCCGCTGCCCGAAGATGAGACTATAAGTAGAAACTTTCTCATGGATGCTATTGAATTTCGTCAAGAGAAAATAGCTCGCTTTCTTGTTGGACTCCCCCTTGGCAATGTATTTATCAATTTACCGGATTATTCAAGGGATAACAATATATTACATATGGCAGGTAAATTGGCTTCTGATTCTCAATTTTCTCACATTTCTGGTGCTGCTCTACAGATGCAAAGAGAGATACAATGGTTCAAGGTACGCAATAAAAATCAATAGTTTTTACTAATCATAAATTATAGTACTTAGAAATATATACAAGGATAGTCCAACCATATAAAATTCTCTAAATAACAAGTATTAAGCGCTGCAAATTTCCAAAAGTACATTAGGAGTTGAGTACTATATATATAGAACACAATAGTGGCTCCACTCAAAACAAAAATGTAATATGCTAAGGAAATCAACATTGGTCTTCTTGTCATCGAGATGAACTAGAAGCCAAAAACACTGCCTCACAAAACATTCCTTCCCATCTTCGGAATCTAAGTTCACTTGAGCCTCTTCTGATCCATTGCAGGATTCTTCTTTACTTTTTTGCTTAATTCTTTCTAATGATTAAATTAAATTAGATTTTACTATTATTTTACTTAGGTCATTAATTAAAGCCTTTTTTTTCCCTAAAAAAATTCTCTGCCTATGCTACTTTATTTTATATATATATATATGTGAATATAGGACTTCACATTTAAATTATTAATTTTAAAAATGCAGGAGGTAGAAAGCCTTGTTAACCAGCGTGATAAAGATGCCAAAAACAACAATGGTGAAACTCCTTACCAAGTTTTGGCTAGAGAGCACAAGGTCTTGCTTAAGGAAGCAGAGGATTGGAATAAAGGGTTAGCAAAATCATATATAATTGTTGGCGCTCTCATCATCACCGTAATGTTCGCCGCAGCTTTTACCCTTCCTGGCGGTAACAATCAAAATAAGGGATTTCCAATATTCAAAAACAAAACAACATTTTTGGTATACATAATATCCGATGCAATCTCGCTGTTTGCCGCAGCTGCCTCAGTAATAATATTTTTGGGATTTCTCACATCACGTTACAATATGGAAGATTTCCACAAATCTATTCCCAAGAAGTTGATGGCTGGGCTTTCTACTTTGTTTGTCTCTCTCGCAGCAATGATGATAGCATTTTGCTCGGCTATTTTTCTCATGCTAGAAAACCGATGGTGGATTATCATTCCATCTGTGTTGCTTGCGGGCATTCCAGTCAGCTTGTTTGCGTGGTTGCAATTTCCTCTGCTTGTTGAGATTTATGTTTTAACTTACAGATCACCAATTTTCAGTGAGAAAAGATCCTTGGCAAGCAAAATAAAAGCACTCTTCTTTGGGAAAAGGAAGATTGAGTAGGTCTAAATGAGTCTTTTGCATTATGTTTGTCTTCGTTGGTACCATAGCAACTCTAAGGTCCATGCTTGGTTGTAAGTGAACTTTAATTTTATTGCCACTTTGTTTTTGTTATGCAATAGAATTCTTCTGGTACCTGCATAATTTTCTAAGTTCACATATAAGGAAATTGGTGTTCACATATAGCTAGGATGCTTAGCTTTGGATCTCCGATTGTCAATCTGACAAAACAAGCTAGTAAAGAGGCAATAGAAACCACAGACAAGGATGCTGAACAAACAAAAGTACTGAAGAAGGATGGTTCAAAGAAATGGTGGCAAGGTTAAGTATCCATTATTGAAAGTACTACATTCAAAAATTCTGGAGATCAATAAATAGATTAGAAACATTTCAAGACAAAAGATATGGTCTGGTCTACTACAATTTTAGAAACAAAACCAAAATTCCCTAAAAATTAGTCACCTCTTCCAGTCATTTGCTACTATGATTATTTAAGCACGCACCCCATGGTTAAGACTGACCATGCGACTTGAAGCATCCATATGGGAACTTTTAATTGATGGAGCAATCCTCCCAAAATACCCACCTACTCCTCGCAACTGACCAAACCGATAGCTTCCTCCAGCAGCTTGACCAAAAGCCAATGTTCTTCCACCACTAGCACCATATCCTTTACGCCTGCCACTACCTTGCCTCTCCTGAGCAAAAGACATGTCTTGCCACCTACCACCAGTAGAAGT